AGAAGTATAACTAATGAAATAATTTTATAGAATTTATTTTGTAATGTAATTAAGAAATATAATGATATTGAAATAATGGGAAGAAGTAGAATTATATCAGAATCTACAAAAGAATAAATAATTTGGAATATATTATTTCCTATTAAACATCCTAAATATCCAAAACAATTTAATTTGGTATTAAGAAAAATAAATGTTATTATTGTAAATCCTCCTAAAATTACTGTAACTACTTTACACAAATCAACTAATTCTGAAGGCATTTCAAATGCATATACTGGAACAAGTGAAAGATAAACTAAAGACATTAAGAATATTGATGGAATAATTCTTATTCTTTTATATGACAATGGAGTTAATATTAGTAATATAATTGAGATAAATAAACAAATCACCGCATTATAAAGATTAACTTTTAATGTTAAAAAATCTAAATAAGTATCTGGTGGGTTTTGTTTTACTTCTTTTATAAAATTAATCATTCTGACCATTTTAAATTCATTCCGTTGTGTTACATTTTGTTCTAATAACGAAAGATTAATCAAATCATTAATCTTTTCCATTTATCTTTATTAATGTTTTTTTAAGTTTTTTGTTACTCTTTTTTAATTTTATTAATAAATTTATAGAATACCTCTTTTTTGTTATTTTTTTGGTTTGTTCAATGCAATAAGTCTTTTTGTACTTTACATACCACTATTTTTAAAATAGTAATAGAGAAGTATATAGTTTCTGAAAGTGGTGAAAATGTTTTGTATTTGAACTTACTAATTTAATGTTTTTATTTGAAATTATATTGCTTGTTTACTTCCAATTATTGTCATATAAATATCTTTCATTTTAAACTATAAAGATAAAATACTATTCAAAACATTATGTTTATTTGATTATATCATATTGTGTTATTAATGACATTTGATTTTTTATTCTATTTACATTGTCTTAATAGATGATGAAATAGTTGTATGATATTAACATAAAATGAACCAATAATTAACTATTACTTTTTATTGAATTAATTCATAACTCCAATTTATTGAATAACAAGTGTATAATCAATTCATATCATCCCTATTAGTATTTAACATATTCATTGTTTTACGTTTCTTCCTATAATAACCCATATGTTATCTGCATTTCTAACAGTTGTTAGTCTATGTGCTACAAGAATTGTTATTCTTCATTCAATGCTTTTCAAGTGCTTCTTGTACAATCTTTTCACTTTGTGTATCAAGTGCTGATGTAGCTTCATCAAGAAGAAGATTAGATTGTTTTCTAATCAATGCACATGTAATGACAATTCTTTTTTTCTTTACTCTTGTTAATAATGCTCCTTTTTCTCCAATTAGTGTGTCATATCCTTCTGCAAGTTTAGAAACAAATTCATGTGAATTTGCCATTTTAGCACATTCAATCATCTCGTCTTTACTTAGTGTTTCTCATTCTTTAGCTCCAAGCATAATATTTCTCGAATTGTTCCTGCAAATAACACTGATTCTTGTCCAACTATTCCTATTTGATTTCTTAACCATTTGATATTCAATTCTCGTATGTCTTTTCCATCTAATGTTACCCTTCCACCATTTGGCTCATAATTTCTTTGGACTAATTGAATGGTAGTTGACTTTCCACATCCTGATGCTCCAACTAATGCAATTGTTTCTCCTTTCTTAATTTCAAGGTTAAATCCTTTTAATACACGATGAGATAGTCTTGTTGGATAAACAAATTAAACATCATCAAATTGAATATTCCCATTACACTCAGTTGGACATTCACCTCCAATAGACTGACAATCAATATCTGGGATTCTATCAATTGTTGTAAATATTTTATAAAGTAAAGTTTGTATCTAAAAGAGCAAATTTAATTGTCTTGCAATCATTGATAATGTTTGAGAAGCAAATAGTACTGACATGAACACCATTAATACATCCACAGCAAATACACCTTTACTTCCTCCTTTTCCTCTAATGACTAATGAACCATACCAACTTCCAAGTGCATATGATGCAATCATGAAAAATGTAATAACTGAAAATCCTAATCCAAGACATTGTCCTTTAATTCCATTAAATTGTTCATTTTGTTTTATTTTTTCTTCATATTCTTCAATAAATTCATATTCTTGATTTAATGATTGAACTGTTCTAATATTTCCTATTGTCTCTTCTGTAATATCATCAGCTGCTCCAAACACATTTAATGCTTTTGTTTCATATTGCATTCCAACCATTTAGAATATTGTAAAGACAAGGATGAAAATGGAACAGTTGCTAACACAACTAATGCAAGATCCCAACATTTTGTAAATTCAATAACATACCCTGTAATACCCATTGAGATTATTTGAAAAATCATTCCAAATTTTGGACCAATTCCATCTTGATAATTTTTAATATCTGTTGCTATTCTTGCCATCAATTCTCCTGATTCTTGAAAATCATACCATATTGCATCTTGTCTTAATAATGACTTGAAATATAATCTTCTCACTCTAATTCCTTCTCTTTGTGAAACTACAAACAATGAAAATGTTCTCAGAAAACTCAACACTATACTTATCACTCCAAAATATACCATCTTCACAACTACTTTATTATTCATAGACGCTTTTATTCAATTAAAAATTATGTGATTAACTTCTTCATCTATTATTGTATTATCACCTGGTGTATAAATATAACTATTAGCCATGTCTCCATCAAAAGTATCATGAGTTGATACATTATTCAATTTCATAATGAATTTATCATCAAATTAGTATTAAAATCATGTCAATCCAATCAGAATATTTGAAAAGTTTTATTACACTAACTTTTCTTTCTATATCTTGCATTTTCTTCTTTGCAAAATCTCATCAAAGTCAGATGGTACATTGACTATATTAAATGTATCTGCTGGTTCATTTGTCAAGTGAATGACTCAGATATATTTTAAATAGAATTTATAAACATTGAACCATATTATTAGATATTATAATCTTCTTGTTATATTATTTTCTTCATTTTCTTTCTTATGTATTATTTAGTATTATGAATAATATTCTATAAACAAAATGGTTATTATTATTTATTATTTTCTATTCTATTATTCTCTTCTTCTTATTTTTTCTTTATTCTTTCTCTTTCATTCTTCATTTCTTCTACTCTCTTTACTCAATTTTCTATTTTATTTATTTCATTCATTTCTTTTATTGTTTTATTCTCTTATTCTTTATCATCATTTTATATCACTGTTATATATTCATTGTTAGTCAATTGAAATTAATTAGAACACTATTAAAATACTTGTTTCATTCAATTAAAACAAGTATTTCATTTCATTTTGAACTAAATATCAATTTCAATACTTAAATTATCTTTTATTTATTGTTATTTTATTTATTTGTATAAGAATTTTTCAATTTTCTCATGCCATTTTCATAATTTCAACAGCTTTTTTGATTAGTTATAATTATACAATTCTGTAACAATGAATTTTGTTGTTACTGAGTCATTTAGTTCTATAATTTTATAATGAACAGTTTAGTAAATCTATGGTTAGAATTTGTGTTATTACAATAATGTATATCTCCTGAATAACCCACATTAATAATAACAATCTCATACGTCTCCAACACAAAGAGGTTAATGTATTTCTTATAACATAATGATTATAAAATTATAATAACAAAAAAATGCATAATTAAACCAATATCTATATCTTAATGTTTTATGGCACATGCTTATTTTTTTTTTGAAACCAAACTAACACATTACTATCCAATAATACCACTCAAGCACATGCTAACAACAATATGTCTCATATATTCATTTATTTAAAAAACCTCTTTGTGGTTATTTGTTTGAGTTATAAAACGTAGTATGATATTGCTTAATTTGTTTATTCACAGAATGGGATTATGTTATTAATAAAAGTATTCAAAGTAGTTGTGAACAATCAGTTGTTTGTATGCATGAATAAAGTAATAATGAAGTAGTAAAGTGTTTAATCATAATATTAAAATCTATAAATTGTGATGAAACTAATAATTATTTAGTATAGAATAAACTGAAGTAAGATGAATTTCTATTTTATTCTCACGTTTAACAATACTATCCTATTCACTAATTTTTAATCATTGATTTTCTTTTTCTTCGTTCTTTTTTATCATAACAATCAATTTTATTGTTATCTACTTCATCAACAACCATCTCTTCATAAATTATTAGTCAAAAATACTTTTATTATTCTTTACATATTTATATTCTTATTAGATTGAGTTTATCTGCACAACCATCTGCCTAAACAAGCTTGACTACTATAAGAGTCTGTTATTACCAAACACACAACACTTAGTCATTGTGTTGTTAAAAGACTCATTGAATAGGCATAATGCAACACATGCTAATTTGGAATAAGACTTTTAAATGATGAGATAGTATATACATGGAAGGAGTTATAACCAATAAGAAAAGAATTAGAGAATAAGAAGAAACAAAAAGAATGAAGAAAATGACTAATGGGTAATATAAACATGATAGATAATGAAAAGAAGATTGGATAAATAAGATATAAAAGAGAAGTTAATAATTAAAGAAAATAAGATAAAGAAAAATATTTCTAAAGATTATAAAAATAAAAAGGGTTTTAAGAGAAAGAAAGAGAGAAAGAGAAAAATCAAATGACAGAGCCACAAGGTTTTGATCCCACAAAATTTAAATTAATTACACGAAATGTTCTTACAGAATACAAAGAATTATTAAATGATTTAGCACGTGTTCAACGATCAATGAAAGAAGAAGATCATCCATTTGCACAAGCAAGAGAATATAAACGAGCACTAAATGCAACAAAATTAGATAAAATATTTGCTAAACCATTTATAGGGAATTTAGCAGGACATCCAGATGGAGTAACATGTATAACTCGAACAGGAAATGAAATATCATATATGGCAAGTGGAGGATATGATGGAGAAGTAAGAGTATGGAATGTTGGAACAAATCAATGTTTGTATACTATTCAAGCACATGACACAGTTTGTAAAGGAATTAGTGTTTCTACAACAAAAATACCATATATTGTTACATGTTCAACTGATCATACATGTAAATTATGGCCATTATCAATTTCTACAGAAGAAGATAGTAAACCAGCAAAAGTAAATGCACCATTAATGACATATAATCATGAAATACCATTTTCATGTATTGATACAAGAAGAGGAACAGAAGATTTTTGTACAGGAACAAGTGAAGGACTTGATTTATGGACATTTAGTAGAAATGAGATTGTACAACATTATGATACAGAAACAGATGGAGTTTTAGGATGTAAGATTAGTCCAACAGAAAATAATGTTGTTGGAATAACAGGAGGGAATCGAAGTATTATATTAATTGATCTTCGAGCAAATACACCAATTAAAACAGTTTATGGAGTAAGAAGATATAATGATTTATCATGGAATCCACAACAAGTATATATGTTTACTGCATGTAGTGATGATTGGAATCTTTATACATATGACATAAGAAGACTTAATGAAGCACGTACAATTCATAAAGGACATCTTGGACCAGTACTTACAGTTGATTATTCCCCTACAGGAAGAGAATTTGCTACAGGGTCATATGATAAATGTATTAGAATTTATAATGAATGGTGTGGATATGCAAGAGATTGTTATCACACACAAAGAATGCAAAAAGTGTTTAATGTTTGTTATAGTGGAGATGGTCATTATATATTTAGTGGATCTGATGAAGGAAATATTAGAATATGGAAAGCATTTGCAAGTGAATCAACTAAAATTAAAGATAAAAGAGAAATTGCCAAACTTAATTATCTTAATGGATTAAAAAAGAAATATAAAGACATGCCAGAAATTAGAAGAATAGCAAATCATATTCATCTTCCTAAAGAATTAATGCATACAAAAACAATTAGAGATACAATGATTCTTAGTGAAAAGAAGAAAGAATTAAATAGAAAGAAACATGCTAAAAAAGAAAGAAAAACTAAGAAAGAGAAAGAAGAAAATGGAAATGAAAACTGAGAAGAATTTAAATAGAAATTAATTGATTGAAACGTGATTTGAAATGAAACAAGATTTAAAAGAGAACTTTTTATTCTGGATTTAATGAATTGTTAATATAAAATCAAGAACTTTTATACAATAATACAACACTTTGCTTTCTTCTTTAATTTAGGAAATGGTTGTGGAGTATTTATTGACAATACTAAATTCTTTTGAAATAATAGTCTTCCAATTTGTTGAAATAAAATATCTACATTGTTATTTGATTTAGTACTTGTCTCAATAAATTCAAATCCTTCTCTTTTAGCAAGGTCTTGTGCTTCTTGACTAGAAACAATTCTATTTGCAGCTAAATCAGTTTTATTTCCTACAAGATATTTGATAATGTCTTTAGGTGCATAATATCCAACATCTTTTAACCATCCTTTGACACTTTCATACGTTGTTCTATCAGAAATATCAAATACTACAATGACAGCATTACATCCTTCATAGTAACTTCTTGACATCATTGTATCTTGTTGTTTTGATTCAAATCCCACTACATATTGATTATTTGACTTTTCTAACAAATTAAAGTAGTTAATAAAATAAAAACAAACAATTTGTAATGCAATATTATCTCCTGAAATATTTAGTATTTTAGTATAACAAATATTAGACTTTCCATCTTCTTTATTCTTCTTATTCTATTCGGTTATTTCTTGTCTCTTTTCGATTCTTTACTATTGAAAGATATAAATTAACAAACAACAAATTGTCTCACCAAACAAGTCTTCCCTACTCCCTCATCTCCTACCATTAATATTTTAAATGGTTGTTCCTCTATTTGTTTAATGTTTGTGTCAGTGTCTTCTGTACTAAATATATCTTCAGTTGTTAACATTGATTTTGTTGTTTCTTCTTCTAGTGAAATGGTATCACCTTTAATATTCATCTCTTTAAATTAAGTAGTGAAGAGTTATGTTTTTCTGAAGATTTAAAAAGAATTGGAACTATTTCTGAATTGTTTTTAAGCTGTTTCCAAAAGTATTTTTTTGTTTTATTTTTATTGTATTTCATTTATTTTTATTATTCTTTCTTTTTCTTCGTAGGGGTAAAATGTAGGGGTATTATTATCATAATTCATTGATTGTTTCCGTCTTTCTTTCTACCATTCATTATTCATTTTTAACTTCTATTTTTTCAATACCCTGATACTACTGAATTACTTCTTCATGTACTACTAAATTAAACCTTTATGTTTATTTCTTAGTCCTTTTTACTCATTTTCATTTGTTTTTCTCAAAAATACCTGAAACACTTGCTTACAAATTATCATTAAATTAATTGCATTTTCAATTCCA